CCTTCGATAGAATCCCAAGTAAACTTATCTGGTGGGCGCTACGCCACAAAAAGGTTCCCGAAAAATATATAAGAATAATACAGCATATGTATATCGTCCATACAACAATGGTCCGTAGCACAACAGGTACTTCAGCAGGCTTCACAATAGCCGAAGGAGTTCTTCAAGGGTCGATTCTCAACTCACTTCTCTTCATTACAGTAATAGATGTATTAGCACAGTCTATACCTCAAACAGTCCCTTGGAATATGATATTTGCAAATGATATTGTGATACTTGCCGAATCTAAGGATGAAATGAAAGTAAGATTAGTGAGTTGGATAAATATCCTAGAAACGCATGGATTAAAAGTTAATAGAGAAAAGACGGAGTATATGGCGATAGGAAAAAATGAAACAGAAAGTATTCATATAAATGAATGGCAGATATCGGCAATTGAAAGCTGCAAATATTTGGGTTCCACTATACAAACAAACGGCACAATAAAAAAAGAGATAAAGAGTAAGATTAATCAAGGGTGGTTAAAGTGGAGATCTTTATTTGGAGTGCTATTTGACAAAAGAATCCCACACAAATTAAAGGGAAAAATTTACAGTTCCATAGTACAACCAACTATTCTATATAGTTCGGAAACATGGCCAACCAAAGAATCAGACGAGAGAAGTCTACAAACTATGGAGATGAGAATGCTGAGGATGATTGCTGGGGTAACAAGATAGGATAAAGTGTGTAGTACAAGAATACTAAGTAGTTTAAAGGTAGTGCCCATTAAGACTGAGTTAATGGTAAACAGACTTAGGTGGTATGGGCACACAATGAGAAGGCCTATGAACTACATAGGAAATAAAGTTGAGAGTTTGGAAGTGATGGGCAAACGTAAAAGAGGAAGACCAAAACTTCAATGGGGCCATAAAGTTAGAGCCAATATAAAGAAGTATAAATTAGATAAAAGATCGTATGAATAACATAAAGTGGAGCGAGATGTTGAAGGAGCTTACCACCAGAAAAGTTGAAAGCTAAAGAGAAAAAAAATAATATAATATTTCTTTTTTAAAGTACCAATCTTTTTTTAAGTGAAGAACACTTTACTAGTTTTTTGACTCGTTAGCTAATTGTTCCCACCATATATAATGCCTCGTAATGTTCATTGATGTAATACCCGGATGTCCCGTATGCAATATATATAAAATCTTTTTTGAAGTAAGTACGAAATGATTAATCTGCCATTCCAAAATAAAATACCGTCATCATTTTTATATTTCATCTATTCTTGTTCTAAAAGCTTGTAATTCTGGTCCCTGATTTTGTATATTTGTACCATTTATTAATCTTTTTTTTGGCTTTCGTTCCCTAGTTGGATATCGGGGTTGAATTCCTTCTTGACTTGGTTCCATTGTTTCTACTGTCTTATCATCTACTAGCTTTATATTTTCATTTGTTTTTTTTAAATTCGGTTTCAACTGGTTCTTCCCTTGTTTGTTTATGGTCGGCATGTTTTAACGATTTTTTCTTTTTCTTCTACCTCTTTCCAGGGTTGTGATGGCGGATTTTCCTGGTATACGGCAACAATAGGTATATCTGCATTGTTTTGACATCCACTACAGCTGTTTACTAGTTTTTCGACCCACCATATATAATGCCTAGTAATGGATTTCATTGATGTAATACCCGAATGTTTCGTATGCAATATATGTAAAACTCCTTTATGAATTTAGTACGGAATGATTAATCTGCCATACCAAGATAAAACCGTCATCATTTTCTATTTCATCTATTCTTTTTCTAAAAGCTTATAATTCTGGTGCTTGATTTTTTATATTTATACCATTTATTAATATTTTTACTTTTCCTAAAATTGGATCTTTTGCGGTTTCCTCTCTAAGTTTTTTTCTTGATAGAGTTAATTCTGTTTTTAATATAAACGCGAGGTCCGGTTAATAAAACTGTATTGTTCTGTTACTATTCCGAATAGCATGAAAACGATTACAAAAATAGCCCTGTATTTTATTTTGGAGTGACAGATTAATCATTCCATACTCATTTCAATAAAGAGTTTTACATATATTGCATACGGGACATCGGGATCTCACTTGAGGAAGAGGGTATATTTCAAACGGATATCCTACTTTGGTGGAAACGACAAGAGATTTGCCAAAGCTATCAAGATTAGCAAAAAAAATATTGGCAATTCCTGCAACTAGTGCTTCTCCTGAACGAGGATTTAGCATTGCTTGAAGGTTTTTAGAACAAAGAAGAACGTGTTTGAATCCAGTAAATGTCGATTCATTATTATTTTTGCATTATAATTACATATAATATCAATTTTAATTTATATTTTTTTATAAATATTCTATTTGATCAAATAAATTGTCAATAATCTAAATTGATTATTTTTTTTATTAAATTAATTTCCTAAATTATAAACTTTTTATAGAAGTGTAATGCTGAAATATTTTTATTAGATGCTTAAAAAATTGAAAGAATGACCATAATTCAATTTTATAAGCGGGCTTGGGTTAAAATTTTTTATAAATAATGGGCGGGCGGGTAAAATTTTTTAGACAAATGGGCGGGCTGGGCGGGCGGGTTAAATTTTTTAAAATATTGGCCAATGCAGACCTCTAATATATATTATTAAAAATGCGTTTTTTATACCCCAATATTATAATTATTTTTATAATTTGCGCCTTCTATAATTGATTTTTTATTTCAAAATTATAAAAACTAAATAAGATATAAATTCTTATTTATTCATTTAACATTTTTATTTATATAATTTAAATATATTGTTATTAAACATATTTAATGAGCTTCATCGTTTCAAACACCCTTTATAATTGATTTTTTTTATTCCTAAAATTATAAAAAACTAAATAAAATATCTTATTTTCTTACCCCTAATGGTCAGCGTTGCAGATGTGCAACGGTTCAGATTTCCTATTTAGGATGAGTTTTTTCTTAGTAGATTAAAATAAATAAAATTTGAAAAAATCAAGAATTTTCATCGGCTGGAAAAAGTGTGACCATTAACGGGTTAAACAATGCCAGAGTATGATCATTGGATGTAGTGCGCAAAGGCTCTTTGCTACACCAAATTTCTTGCCGGTATGACCCTGGCGCCATCGTTAACAAAAAAAATTCAATTTTTGCAAAAAATTTTCAGAAAACAGCGTTTAAGAGGATTCAGTAAGATATAAATGATCTCCTCTACATCTTTCGATTCCAGTTCAATTAGGTCTGGAAATTTAAAAATAGGATCATAAGAGGACACCAATGCCTATTTTATATAAATAACCAAGGCCGGTTTATTTGGCAATATAAGAGATTCATCTAACAGGAAAATATTTTTCGATTGTAAATTGTATTATTTACAATTTTTATTTGCATTTCCTTGGCCATAAATTATTAACAAAGCAGAATATTTAGAATGCAAATCTAAATCGTTCTGCTTTTGTAAATCTATTAACTATTCAAAATCCACAATTGGACCATTTGATTTTGCAAGATAGTATTCAGCATTCAATCTTGGTTTGTTTATCAATGTACATAACCATTTTTAATGTATGCTCTGGTTTTAAAAATAATTTAATACATTTTTATTTAAACACTTACACGGCTAATTGGATATATTTTTTAAAGAACCAATTAAAATAGTGAAGGGATCGTTTTTGAATTAAAAATATATATACTACCATTTTTTTTATAAAATATTTTATTATGTTTATATCATGATAAAAAATATTAATAATATATACCTATAAAAAATCAAATTTTTAGAAGGGGCACGCCATTCCCTTTACTTTTTTAAAAAAATTTCTGGCGGGAACTCGCTATTTTTTGAAACTAGGTCAGGGCAGGCTATTTTTTTTAAAAATCGGTGAGGGGAGTGCGTGCCCCAATCCCCGATACACCTCTGATTATAGGTAATAATTTTTAGATTTTAATAAAACTTTCTTAAAATTATCATTTAAGGCACCCCCGCTTATCTAGATAGGTTTTTATAATGAAATAGACTCGAACATATTATGAATTTATATCTAACATTATTATTGTTAATATAAAAATAAAATAAAATGTATCGAAATATAGATATTTCGAAAATAGTATCGAAATATAGATATTTCGAAAATAGTATCGAGATGCCGATATTTTTTATAAGCAAACTAGATACAGATATCACATTTTGTATATAAATACAACAACTCTGCAATGTACCGAATGTCTTAAATGGCTACATTTTTGCTATGATAGGAATGTTCCTTTTTATGTGCTGTGAAGATTAATTTTTTTAAAAAAATTTATAGTAATGTATTAATTATAACAATAAAAGTTTTAGTTTTTGGGGGCTCAATTTGATATTTTCCATCTTACCCTGAAGGGCTTTCTATCTTACACAAGATCTTTGGTAAATAATAAAAGCACGACATTTACTTAAACCTTAACAGGACACACACTATAATAAGATAGGAAGCTCTGGTTTATTTTATTTTATAGCCCAATGATGAGGCTATCCAATGATATAATTAGTATGAGGCTATCCAATGATATAATTAGTTTTTTCCTTTAAAATAAAATTAAAATTTTATCGTAAAAGTACAATACACCTGCCATATAACCCGGGTTCTTCTAGTTCAATATATTATCTTAAAATTAATGTATTCCAAATATGTAATATCCTGGAAAACTATAACCAATGACATTAATACTAATTTACACGAAAATTAATTTATTAAGAGTATACTTACATGCATTGTATTCAGCTTTAGCAGGCCCCGCACTATTGGATAATTTTTTATTAAATTTTTTGTCCTACTAATCCAACAATTTTATTTAAAAATAATTCCAAATTTTTTTAAACCAGTTCGAACTAATTTATTAGTAATATAAGTAGATAATACAAACGGTGCTAAAAAGTGGTATTGGTGCGGACATTCTTACTCTTTTTACTAAGCTTCAAACATGATTAATATAATATATTTAAATTTGCAATACACTTTAAGGGTCTGATTTATCTTGTGAACGAGATAGTTTGGTTCTCTAAGCATTATATAGCTCTACGTATAGACTTAACTTCTAAAATAAATCAATTGTATGATGCAACTATTTATCAAATATCTTTCAACTCTACTCTTAATTCATTAACCACAGGAATGGATGTTCCTTCTTCTTTATGTATGAAATACAAATCAGGTATAATATCTTTAATTGAATATAATTTTAATTTTTTAGATATCAAACATTTGTTCTTACATTTATTTGGAAAATTCTATACTAATGATAATTTTTGTTCCATACCATACAATGCGTCCATGTTACACTTTCTTAATATTGATAAGGTTTTATATAATTTTTTTTATTAATATCGAAACATTCATTTAAAACCCTGATTAGGGGAACTCCTTTAATTTTTTTGTTTAAAATTTAGGATTGAACTTAAACTTGTTTATTATAATGATAATATATAAGAAGGTATTTCCTAATTTATATCTTACAATATCACCTTATTTGGATAGCATAGTTTTGTTATAAGCAGCGTCTACATGACAGAAATTTTTTTGGAAGCAAACCCCCCTCACCCTGCCAATCTTCCCCTGCCTCTCTAAAAAAATTAACGACCTTGGACTCTATATTCATATTAATAAAAATATCACTCACAAACTCATAATAAAATTCTAATTAAAACTCTTTTGGGCCTCGTGATCCAGACTAGGAATAACAAATAAACATTGGTTATAATCAACTGGTTGTTACTAACCGTATTATAAAATTAAAACTGTAAAAGAAGTCAAAGTCTACAAGTCGAAAGGTAAAAATAATATTGAAAATAAAAATCAAAAGAAAATTATTAATGAGAAAAATGATTGATTTATTGCTTTCATAATAATAGAAGAGGAAAGATTTTCGCGAGTACGAAAAAAAAATTGACAATTTAATTCAGAGTTCCACATGTCAAATGAGCAAAAAAATCAAGATTTTCGGCCGACCCCTTTCAATTTTGATAAAAAGTTGTAGACTGGTTATATATGTTTCCATTAGATTATAAACAAAATTTTAGCGCATTAGCAACTATATTAGCGGAGATAATCGGGGTTAAAGGTCCAAAAAACGCCTTTTTTTCCTTTTTACTGATGTTAAATAATTAGTTTTTAATTTAAAACTAATTATGATCAAATATTGAATTTAATATCAATAGCTAAGTTAATAATTGATAATTATGGCGAAAACATCAAAAATAATTTTTTTTAAAATATGGGTCATCTTATGGTCAGTTGAAAACTTGAAATTAATATTTCGAAATGTATATGATCTCCGATTTTTAATTTTTTTAAGAAATATTATCCGTTTACTATTTTTTTAATAATTTCTTTAACAATTAGCATGGCTGGATATTTATTTAAAAAAATATTGCGATTTTTATACTTTAAAAAAAATAGATGGCGCTATATATAATAGTTTTAATATGTTAAAATTTATTTTTTTTATTGATTAAAAATATTTTAATGTATAATATATCATAAAATTCGATTATATAACTTTGTAAACCTTATTCCCCTGAGATATTCGCAGGATAAAAAATTTTAATAATTTTTTTAATATTTCAATGTAAATTAAAATAATTAAAAAATCGGACTAGCACACGAACAAAAAAGCAGGATTAAAGGGGTGCAGGAAAATTATTAAGGGAAAAATCGAAAATCACATTAATTACCAGGCCTACCCCCAACCCCCTATCCACCCTTTCCCCAGACTAAGTCATACCCATTAAGACCAAGAATGTTATGAAATTGTCATTATCTTACATTATTAAAATAACCAGAGATAAAGAAAATTTCAAAGATTTTGAAAAATTTTTTAAGCAATAAAAATAACAAAATTATAGTTCTGATGAAATAAGCCGACTCATGCCTGGAATAAAAGATTGTGTATCTGTTAAATGCGAGAAAGAATTAGCAAAGATTTATATTAAATAATCTTAAAGAAATATTCAAGATGTTTAAGGAAGAATACCCAAGTATATCAATCTAAATTTGCCGAACTTAGACCAAAAAACTGAATTTTAGTTGGATGGCACACACACTGTTTGTGTCTGCGCCATTCATCAGAATGTGAAATTAATGACAAATGTAATAGCTGAAATTACAGCAGGAGAAGATTACTGTATAAATTCTTATAACAATCTTTTGGCGCAAATTATTTATAATCCATCTCAGCCAAAATGTTATTTAACAAATTGTGATCAATGCCCTGGTATAGAATCTCTTATGGGCCAATTATACGAATTGTTTCAGAGAAATCGTATAGAATATGTCACGTTTAAACAATGGATCACGGTGGATAGAGCAAATCTTGAAACTATTATAAAGTCCATTGATGGTTTCATCGAATATCTATTATAAAAAGTTCAAATTTTACTGCGTCACTCGTTTATAGCTAAACACAAAGTTTATTTTTGAAGAATTCCAAAGAAAATTTAAAAGATGAGGAATTTTTAACAATTCTAGATTATTCTGAAAATTATTCCTTCATTTTACAAGATGAAGTTCAGGGATTTAATTGGAACAATGTGCAGGCCACTACATCCATTTGTAGCATATTATAAATCTGGAGAAGAATTAAAAAATATAAATTTTGTTATTTTGTCCGAATCATTAAGCCATAATACTAGTGCAGTCCACCTTTATCAAAAAAAATTCATTAAATTCTTAACAGCCAAATTTAATTCTAAACCAGAAAAAAAAATATATTTTTCGGAAAAGCCGCGTCTCAATACAAGAATCGCAAAAATTTTCCCTTCATAAATACGATTTTAATATTCCTGCCGAATGGCATTTCTTTGTCACTGCTCACGGCAAAAATGCATGTGACGGTATCGGAGGAACTGTCAAAAGATTAGTTGCCAGAGCTAGTCTTCAAAGGCCAAATAAAAATCAAATCCTAACCCCATTAGAATTTATAATTATGCTAAAGAAAATATTAATATTCAATTTGAATATGTATCCAATCAAGAATATATCGAAGAGGAATTAGCCCTTCGTAAAAGATTTAATTCTGCACTGCCCATACATGGGACCCAAAAAATTCACGGGATTATTCCCATTGATCAAAATAAACTAAAAACCAAAATATATTCTAATTCCAAAAAATATAATATAAAACAAGTTCCGTTTTTAAATGAGAAAATTATATTTTAAAATATTAATGAATATATAACATGTGTATATGATGATAAATGGTGGTTAGCAGAATTGTTAAAGTATCTAGATATAAAAATGTAGTATCTGTATCTAGATAGATTTTTTAGAAAGGTATCTGTATCTAGATATTTTTTTAGAGGTATCTGTATCTGTTTTTAGATACTTTTTAAGATACATTTTATATACCTCTTTTTTAATTATAAATAAAAATATTTGACTGTAAAATTTATTTTATTTCATATGAGCTTATGAAATAAATAAATAAATATATATATATATATTATAAATTAATATTTATTAATACTATAATAAAGAATTATATATACATAAAATATTAAAACTATATATAAATATTCATTAATTTAAATATTATGTGCGAGTTTATCAATAAACCATACAAATTTTAATATTACAATATGAAAATGGTTAAATTAAAAATATTATAATTCTAGGTTTATTGTGACCTTATTTGAAGATGATAATAGTATAGCAACCATGCTCCACCCTTTTTTTAAACTTGATTGGACATGGTTGCAAATGGAAGAAAAGCTTAATAAAAGAAAACAATTGATGCAAAGATTAGCTGGTGAATTATCAAAGTCATCAACTGACTGCAAGCAAATAACCTGTCAAAAAAAACAAATAATTTAATTTCAGATTTTTTAAGTACCCTACAGCATATATAATTTCTAATAATGATTTAAATTTTGATAATCAACAAATTTTAAATAATTTTTTCAAAAATGAATGTAGAGATTTTAGCATTTTTAAAGAATACCCTGATATAAAATTGTTATTTATTAAATATAACACTACAATTCCTTCAAGCGCCCCTGTGGAAAGACTATTTAGTGTTGCTAAAAATGTCTTTAAAGATAAACGAGGATACCTAAATGATCAAAATTTTGAAAATATTTTATTACTGAAATCTAATAATTATTTATAATTATTTAATCATATATTTTCATATATTATATTAAAATCATTATTTTAGTTATATTCTGATAAATGTTATATCGCGTCAATAAATTTTTTAGCTCATTTGAATTTTCACAATATAATATTAATTTAGGTTTATGCAAACCTATAAGAGCATAATAAAAAATGTATCTGTATACAGATACATTTAAAAATTGTATCTGTATCTTGAAAACTTTTTAGACGATGTATCTGTATCTAGATATTTTTTGAGACTATGTATCTATAACTGTATCTAGATCCATTTAAAAAGTATCTTTTAACAACTCTGGTGGTTAGGATATATAATCGATAAAAGTTATACAAATGAAGAAGTAAAAATCCGATTTTACACCCTTGTGGACCTTCAGCCTCATTTAAATTCCTCTGAAAGATAATATTTTAGTGTTGCCTAAATCTCATATTCTCTCGCTGGTCAATCCTTCTACTCCCACCAGTCGAACATATATATTATCTCCTGAAGAATCTTACAAGCTAGCCAGGCTTTGTATTCCTTTAGATGAAGTAAGATTTAATTAATTTATAAACTATCTTAATTAGGCAAAATTTGTGAAGATTTTAAAAATTTATGATCTGAATTACAAATAATATATATAATGCACATTGTAATCGATTTAGTATGATATATATTAAAATATTTTTAATCAATAAAAAAAATGAATTTTAACATATTAAAACTATTATATAAAGCGCCATCTATTTTTTTTAAAGTATAAAAATCGCAATATTTTTTTAAATAAATATCTAGCCATGCTAATTGTTAAAGAAATTATTAAAAAAATAGTAAACGGATAATATTTCTTAAAAAAATTAAAAATCGGAGATCATATACATTTCGAAATATTAATTTCAAGTTTTCAACTGACCATAAGATGACCCATATTTTAAAAAAAATTATTTTTGATGTTTTCGCCATAATTATCAATTATTAACTTAGCTATTGATATTAAATTCAATATTTGATCATTAAAAACTAATTACATCAGTAAAAAGGAAAAAAAGGCGTTTTTTGGACCTTTAACCCCGAATATCTCCGCTAATATAGTTTCTAATGCGCTAAAATTTTGTTTATAATCTAATGGGAACATATATAACCAGCCTACGAATTTTTATCGAAATCGAAAGGGGTCGGCCGAAAAGTGATTGATTTGACATGGAATGGTATAATAAAATTTGAAAGTATTTTTAAGATGCTAGCTTTTTCCCATTTTTAGATTCGCTGAGGTTAATGTATATAATAAAATAAATTATCTTTAAGATGTTAGCATGTTTCCCCTGAATGTATTTACAATAAAAATTAATTTTCGAACCGAAAATGAAAAAAAAAAATATATTTAAGATGTTAGCCTTTTTTCCCTGAATGTATTTACGATAAACATATAAATTTTCGAACCTAAAACCTTTTTTAGATTCGCAATTTAATTTGAATATTTTAAAATCTTAGCCTTTTTGCCGTGAAAATATTAGCGACAAAAAAATAAATTGTTGAACGGATGACAGAAATAAACATCTTAGCTAGTTTATATTCGTCGTTTAATTTTTATTCCAATACTATAAATAACTTTATATTTACAAAAAAAATTTTGAAAAAAATTAAATTATTTAAAAGAAAAAAACTTTCATTTTTTAAAAATTTTATTCATATAAAATTATAACAAAATTAAATCTAATTAAAAATTAATTTAATAAAACCGCTTATTATCCTAGTATAAAAATATAATTTTTTAAAAAAAGAGGCCTGACGGTATCTCTCTGTTGACCTCATGGAAACGGGGGCTATTTCTGGTTGACTAAAGGATATACTTGTTTAGATCTATTAGCCCTATCCAACCAAACTCCAAACTCGAGCAAAAAGAACAGTTTAATATTTTCAAATATTCGGAAATATCAGAAGATCACTTCCTTATACCAATAACCTTAACTTCCTTTGTTAACTTTGCATTATCCTTCTTCGAGGATTTAGGATCTCACTTCCGCAAGCATACTGGCGATTTTCGAGAAGGCTTATTCCTCAGATAGAGACAGGCTATATCTTAAGACAAATTATCAAATTAAAATGACAGTTTTCTCTCCACAGATCTTCACTAGACTTAGGGTGCATTCACATTAGAGAGCGACAGCGACACGACAAAATACAAATATGTGTAATTACCAATGACTATTCATAGTGAGTTTTTGCGACGCGACACGACATTCCCGCCACATTTGTCGCATTAAACATAGAAATCAAATTACAAAACATTTTATTACTTTCAAAGCGACTTAACTACAATATGGTAGAAATAGAAAATTTGCAAGTGAATTTTTGAAATGTTATTAAAATAATAATGTTATATATATATATATTTTATAATATAAATAAATATTATGTTATATATGGAAATTAATTTCAAGTGAAAACAATATTAAAACAGGTAATTAAAGAGTATTTTAATTTGAAATATTTTTCATTTGCAGTAGATGGTCAAATCGGCATGAAAAAATCTAAGAGATTGTTATATGAGGGAGCATAGGTTTTTCTAATTCCAACCATATAACTAGAGAAACAATATACAAACTTGAAAAATATAAATTGTTTTATTTAATATTGATGAAAAAAAATATTGCTAGAACAATGTTTAAGCAGATGAGTGGAAATGAAAATTTAAGATGGTAAATATACTAATTTTTGAGATTTTATTATTACATAGCTGTTGAAATCCCACGCATAGAGACTAGTCAAAGTGAATCCATAATTTTAAGGAATGATTGTAATTATATTTTATATGAATAATATATATATTTAGCATCACCATCAACGAGTATAGGATCATATGTATCTTGCAAAAAATTAAAAAGAAGGATATAGATCAAGGAAAAAAATAAAAGAAAGAAAATTATCAACAAACACTTGGATCAATGTTATGCTTGAGAAAACCCTTGCAAAAAAATCAGAGAGGGGAAAGAAGAAACTAATTAAAATGATTTTTGATATATTATTTAAATATGAAAGTTTTATAAAAAATATTATATTGCATTGTTATTATTCATTGAAGGACCTTTATATTATTTTAATCAAAATAAAATAATCATTTTGTTTAAGATATTGAGTATCATTGGGGTGGAGATTTATGTTTTCTTTATCAATCACCAAGTTGTCACAGTGGACAAGTTTTTATAATTCATTCACTATTGGTAACATTAACTTACCTTTATAAGGTTTCATAATATAATATTTGATCCATCTGATTCACTGCCATAACTGCCTATAACAATTACTATAAATCTACCTTTACTATCTACTAATGCTTGTAATATTATGGAGAAATATTGTTTATAATTGTAATATATGCTCCCAGATTTTGAAGGATTTTTAATCTCAATGTACTTGCCATCAATGGCTCCAACACAATGGAAAGTTTCAAGACTTCTCAAATTGATCAGCAATTATTTTGAAATCATTTAAATTAGGTGGTTTCAAATGGATATATCGCAACTACTATGAATGCTATATTGCTTACGACACATCAGCTGCTCTATAGTTTAATGTCATGTCGCAGTCACTCTCTGTGAATGCACCCTTACTCTTCCTTCCTTATTCCTAACATTTAGCTATATTTTACCTTTATATTATTTAATTTGTGAATTTTTTATCTCGTATATAAATTTAGTGTTGGATATATAAAGATAGACATATATTCTATTACTTCACAAATAAAATTTAATATATCATAATTTCTATTATTATGAAATCAATAAATCAATCATTTTTATTTTCAATGTTATTTTTTAGCCTTTTGTATTGTAGCCTTTCCATTTATAGACCTTCCTGAATTCTCTAAAAAAATATATATAAATTAATCTTGAATTTTTTTTATTAACTTTTTATCTATAATCTACAAATAGTGCTTATTATACTTTACCATACCTTTCTTGGATGCCTACCCCGTACCCTTTTCAAAATAATTGGAAGCATATTGCTCCTTCCTACCCCCCCCCCCCCCCTATTATATTGACACTGCTTATAAGATCTCGAAATAAATTTATATTAATTGGAATATTTTTTATTTGTTTCTATTGCTCCTACCTATTCTTTTTTCCAAGCCAAACCATCCTAAATTACATTTATTTATGTGATTTATTACAGAATCAAAGTGAAAGTTCAATTAATATTGCTGATTTACTCAATATATCTGAAAATGGGAAATTAATTTTTTCTAAATCATCACAATATTTATATGAAAATATGTACAACAGTCATAAATATCTTACAGGTATCATATTATGAAAAATATATATTAACATAAATTAACTAGGGTATAGCCGACACATGGCCACTCTAAATGTAATAATATCCAAATTCACATTTAACCAAGATTTGACGAATCTCATAACAATGAGTTATTTGCAAATAATTCCTTTTTTCCTCAAAATTTATGTCTCTACTTTGAAAATTCGTGCCAAACTGTCAAATGGTACTATTCATGACTGTAAAGGTAATTTATAGGTTTATACGAGAAAAGGGTTTAATCAGATAAATTTAACAATTGCACTATGCTCCCAATTCTCATATCAATATTTATTATATAATAAGCACATCCAGTAAAATAGAATTTTATATTATTATTATAAACACCAAAATTTTTTACCGGAAATATCATAATGATTTTATCTCTTAAATTTAAACTTTCATTTTTAGTTACCAACACCCTGAGAATTTTAGAGGACAAATCTTTCTAATTAATCAAAAACCTCTGAAAGAAATAACTACACCGGAGATCTTAGCGAGGGGTTTTATATACGATATAGGTTCTCCTTATAAATCTGTCTATACAACTTACTAATCATACACCCCTTCCTTAGATAACAATAAACCTTTAAATATTTATTAAGTTTTTTTATAGCCTTTTTAATCACCTTTTTTTAGCCAATTTTTTAGAAATTTATTTTTACTCATCCTTTTTACAAATTAATTTTTATTCATCCTTTTAAGAAATTATTTTTTTATACTATATGTTTTTTTATTGTTTCTGTCATAGTTTTATACGACTTATATATATATATATATGTATTTTACAAACCTTTTTAAATTGAAACAATAATCCTACAACTAATGAAAACCCTATTTATTGATTTAAAAGTGGTTTTCTATATTTACCCAGGTAAGCTAGTTTCCCCTCTGATCCCTCTAACTCCACTTTTTGTGGTCCAGGACATCTTTATTTTTAATATTTATTAAGCTCATGCCATCCATTATCACTTTCATCCATGTCATCTTTGGTCTTTCTCGATGCCTTATTGCCATTATTTCCATCGAGATGCATCTCTAACCAATCATCCTTCATCTTTCGTTCAAGGTGCACAAACCATAGTCTATTTCTTCTCATTACTATTCCAAACTCTTCTTTTCCAATCCTTTCTAGCAAATATTTCTTGTTTTCCACTCTGAGATATCCCACACATCCATCTAGCCGTTCTCATCCCCGTTCTTCCTATTTATCTTCGACTTTTATTCCTCATGTTTCGCCGCCGTAACAGGTTCCACACAGCTTACAGACTTTTTCCTATAATTTCAGAGATGGTTTTTACATTGCTCATGTTCGCCGCTGTAACAGGTTCCACACAGCTTACAAACCTTTCCCTATAATTTCAGAGATAGTCTTCATTTGTTGCAATAGATTACATCTTAGAACTTCTTCCAAGCATATCAGAACTTTCAATAACAACAATAAATCTTTATCTGCTTTCAGCATGTCACCCAAACAAAACTAATTTCCCCACTTTTTTCAAAGCAACTCCTTTGTTGATATCCATCCCACCCTTATCTACATTATCGTATACAGGTTCACGCATGTTATATAGATAAAAGTCGTGCTTACTATCATCAGCCTTATTTATCAATTTCTGGGAGCTGGTGCATTGGATTTAATTTCTAGGAACATCTTTTTCACAATCACAACATTGCCAAATGCCTGTTTCTTCCTTAATTCCTGATCCTTTATCTCCAATCATCTTAGTCTTTCATTCATTCGCTTTTAAACCTTTTGATAGCCATGATCGGATCGGATTAGCTTATCCTTTGACTTTGTTTCACTTATTGCCAAGAATACAACATTATCATATAAAGGTTCCCATGGAAGTTCCCCTACATCTTATTTTCTCAAAATCTATTAAGTAATCTCGTGTGAAAACTTGTCAAATGTCTTCTCTATGCAAAAGCATAATAAAGTTCTTTTTTCTTACCTTGATACTTTTCTTGTATTTGTCATATCACCAAAATCGCATCCATAGTTCCTTTTCCAAATGAAAAATGTATATTCAATTATATTATATTCAGATTAAGATGTTTTTGATAATGTTTACCACCATTCCTTCCCTTTTCTTACCAAATGCAGTCCTTCATCTTATATTATTAAATAACTCTTTAATTATATTTCTCAACTTAATTACCAAAAAGTTATAATCTACCTTCTGCATAATGCACTATTACAAACAAATTATTTGTTGTGATTGTTTTTATTTAATGCTTTGTTACCAATTATTGAAAATCAAATTTTAAATCATAGTAATTTCCCAACCAGTTATATACAACTTAATTATAATCTTAAACCTACAAAAGGATGCCCACAATTTTTTTAAACATTTCACCTTCCTTGGTTTTAATAGACACAAATAAATTTTTTAAAAGACCAGAGAAGACATAAATTTATCATCCAATAAATAATATCATGTCGAAGTATATACACAAAAGGGACAATTATATTTATAACTAAATTGTTGGGGATACTGTATGAAATTTGTCCCATATGCAATATAACCAAGGTCAGGAAGTTTCAAATTCATGGACTTCCATCCTCTAGATGCTGAGGTAGGACTACCAATCATAACACCTATATACTCCATTCAGCCTATTAAATCTAGTAAGCCCTCCTTCCTCAATTGTTGCTACTGACACATCTCCAACTCAACAAACCTAACCTACAATCATGGGCCAATGAATTTTTATCATTACCCAACTATCCCACCATATCCCGTATACTTCGGGGAGCACGTATCGCGGAATCCTTACAAATTAATCCATTTAACTGTAAATAATTCTGGATATCATTCAAATTGGAAAAATCTACTAAACTTTACCAATTTAACACTTAAAATACCTAACATCAAAAATATCTTGATACCTATTATCCAAATATATTAAAATCTTAATAGCCCTTTTCAATCAAGATATCATATCAGCCTCCACACACCACACTTACTAATCTACTTCACTACCTATTGCCCGTAGCGCCAAAATAGCTTCAAATAAAATAAATAGCCTCTATTACAAAAACAGCCCATATGTGACTAAGAATTTATTTATTTAAAACAATAATAATGCTCCCTAAATTACAAGAAAATCACTCAATCTCCTCAAATGTGAGATTCTTTCTAAATCCTACATCCATTCATTTAGGCACCACATACCATTTAAATCAAGGGTTTCCTCGAAAATATATTGAACATAAAATTTTCCGATTCATCCTGGCTTCAGACCACCCTCCCCAGCAAGCAGGAAATATTTGTATCCTATCCCCGCTACAACCTTCTCTTTCAGCCTTTATCTCTTCTCGTCTAACTGCTCAACATCCACTCCCATAGATCCTGACCTATCCCAGGCTTTTACCTTTTGGGACAGCCAGCCTGCTGTCCACCCTCTCTCGTTCTGCCTCCAGTATTCTTAAAAGACTGGGATGCTCCTCTGATCGCCCGTACCGTTAAATACCTCATTTCGAACAGGCCCTTTGATGAAAATCCTAATAATATAATATTAAATGCAAACTTAGGCTATGAATCATTGGAAGCCATTCTTAATTCCAATCTAGGTCTCCTCATGACTGGCAAACAGCTACATATATCCATAGCCCTTTACCTTGGCTGTAAAGCTGTAGTACCTTCCATTTGCATCGATTGAGACTTGCCCATCGAATCGAAAGCCCACCTTGCACTTTAAGTTCTCCTGCGACGACATCCAACAACAACATTCTCCTAGATGCACTCAAAAAAGTTAATATCCCATCTACCTTTGAACCAACGGGCTTTTTAAATGAAAACGTCATTCGCCCCGGTATATCCTCCATTCCCTGGACTAACGATCTTCGCTAACTTGGGATTATACTTATATCGATTTTGCAGCAAAGTCCATCCTCTCAATATCAGCTATCGAAGAGGCAGAAATCCTCAAAAAAAACAAATATGCTGGTCTCACCAACATAGTGTTCATGCCATTTGTTACCAATTCCTTAGGCATGATCTTAAGTTAGGCCCTCAATTTCATTAAAACCATAGGGGAAAAATCCAAAGAAGCTTTACTCTTCTCTAGGGTGATATGTACCTTTTTTAATAATTTTTTGTTTTTCTTTATAAAATATATATAGTTTTTAATATATTCTTATTTTTATTTTTTTAATTTAATATTGATCGTATTTGTATTTAATTTTTTAACATATTTTTAAAGTTTTTTTATGATGAATAAAATTTATTTATTTAAAAATAAGTGTTATTAACTTTTTTATTTTAAAATTTATATATATTTTTAAGATGTTATATCAACATGTGTAGTTCTTTTTGGATTTCTCATATTTTAAATTAGATTTAATATATTTAATGTATACAATTGCACCGCGAGTAATGAATATTTGCAGCAGTAGTATCCAACAAATAAAATAATTGAAACGGTCGGGAACATCTACTACAAATTCAAAAATAACACCGTTCTTACGTTTTGTCTCTTTTACCAATTTATGCACGAAAAATTATGTATGTAAAGATTTGATTATGATTTAATAATTTATTTTGGGTCGCCAATTTTGAAATTTTGACTATTTATATAGGAAAATATTTTAATACCACCTAAGCAAATTTAATGAAGCTCCTTCGTATTAAAGTTGTTGTAGGAGTTAGAGATCTGCAAATGACAAAATTATCAAGCTCGGCGGAAAATTTTTACCAGCCCAGTTTCAATTTTTCACTATGGTTGCCCGGCCCTGTTTTAAATTTTTTTTAAATGCAAGTTTAATTAAATTTACTCCATTTAGATGAGGACAATTTAAAGTATACATCATTCATAAAGTGTATGTATTAAATGAAAACTATGGTATACACATTTTTTTTTCTAAAAATTTATCATAATATCTAAATAGTGCTTTCATCTTAAAAACCAGACTTTTAAAACTTAAAAAATGTAGTTGTCAAATTTTTTTATTTTATTATATTTTTTACCTTATATCTTGAATAAATAATTTTTATTTAAAATTTATTTTAAGATTATTTATAATCGAAAAATAGGAAAATTTCAATAATTAGAATATAAATCAAATTTTTTGTTTTAACAGTTGTTAAAGTAGCGCACACCAAGTAGTGCCCTATCTTTTTTGGTAACTATATTTAACTAATAGCTATTAAAAAATAGCGACTGAGTTAACGCGTTACTTTTTATAAATATAACTTTAAACACGAAAATTAAAATATAATTTTATTTGAAATTTTATTTTCGAAATTTATATATCCAATTCAACTAATATAAATTACTAAAATTGTCGAAGCAAATGTATATCGAGGTGATAAGTTAGTGTGAGACAGATCTTGGAAGCAGGGGCGTCGCTAGCCTTTACAATCTCAGGGGGCTCAGCTAAAAAAAATTTTGGGGGCCCGCTTTTTCCCGGCCTTCGGCTTGGTTTAATATTAATAATACATTTTTAAAATATGCTAACTCTAGACAATTCTTCTGAATTTCATATTTTGTCATTAATAATGTTTTGCACACAAAATTAACTAGCATAAAAAATAATAAAAAAATACAAGACATTTCTAAAAATAATATTTTTTAATACAAAATCTATTTATTAATGTATAAAATATTTTCGATTGCTGATTATAAAAAAATTTTGCGTAAAAAATTACAAGTGATAAAAAGGTTAATTAATTCATACATATGCCTCAATTGATAATGGTTTTTAAAAACCACATAATATAATATAATTCTTAGCAACTTTGGGAAAGGGTCATGATGCCATTCTATACAATGTTTTATTGAATGGACTAATAAGGAGAAATTTAAAGGTCTACCCAAATCCACCAAATCAACAATTCTTGAAGAAGAAAATATAAACGACCACCAAATCATAAAATTATATGGTGGCTAGAGCTTCCTCTTAGATGACATGTTGGAAGCTAAATAAGTAATCGCGAAAATTTTTGTGAGATAATAAATTTCTAAAAGATTATATTCCAGTAGACCATTATTGCTTATCTAAAATATGCAATCATATGCTCTCAGCAGCTATAGTAATAATCTTAAATTAAATAATCACACAAATAATAGATGCTGGTTAATTTGCAGTCTAGCCATGACATTCACGATGGTAACCCATATCAGAATTTATTATGTTAGATAAATTGATAAAACAAAAAGTAAAAATCTTTAGAAGAAATTATGCAAATATATTGAAGTTTTGAGTTATTTACACAGCGATGTTATATTTGAAATGAAACATTTTGTAACTATAAAATTAGAACCAGAGTGATATGATGAAAGTAATTAAGATTTTATATATTATTGTCGCACCGCCTCTAGTTGGTATATTATATCTTAAAATAATAATAGATTGTAATAATATCAAAAATATATTCGTATTAAAAATTTAACTCAAAACTGTTTTTGAAAGTAGAAAAAAAAGTTCTTTCCTAAAAACACGTAAAAAAGAGAAGAAAAATTATTACATCCATTTTGGGATGAATATTAAGAAGTTTTAATAAAATATTCAATAAATAGATGGCGTTAAATAATTGAATGCAAATTGTTACTTATATTTATTATCAAAAGCATTTATTATTAAAATTTTAAAATTATTAACTGTAATATATTATATAACTGTCAAATATGTCTGTAAAAGTGGCATTTTACCTAATATTTTATAAATAATTATATATTAAAAATGATTATAAACTATTTATCTACTTACTTTTTATAAATAAATATCTTATACTCGTTTGGATTTGGACCTTGAAAATAATTTTAGTAAGAGACATGATAATTAATTTTAAAAATAAAAATGTAGTTGACTAATGATTTTGAACTCGGCTAATTACAATATTAAATTTGTTAATTTTCAATTAATAAATGATTATATTTATTTAATTAAGGTTATATAATATTTTAAATAATAAACGTCAATTAAGCTCCAACTGTTAATACTAAATGAATATTCAGTGAGTGATATTGATATATTTTTAACACAGAATTTGATTGCAAACTGACAGAGAGAACATATAATTTATATATATAATCTAATCTAATAATTAAAATAGTATTAATTTAATAAAAATTTAGATAGTTTTATTAATTTTTAAATAATAAAATTAAATCTATATATTATCAATAGAATTATAAAAGAAATCGTTCAGGGGGCAATTAAATAATTTATTTTTAGTTCACGGGAATATTAAGGAGCAATTTTAATAAAAAATTTTGCTTTAGGGGGCTATTCAAATTTTTCAGGGGGCTCGAGCCCCTGCGCGCTCCCTCCTAGCGACGCTACTGCTTGGAAGCCTATTAAATATATTTTTTAATTCACTAAATATGCAAATGAGAATTTTTTAAATAATTTTTCATATTTAAAATATTTTTTAAATATAATTAAATACCCCATTACCCTTAATTGCTAATAATAAGCGATTATTTGGTAAGGTTAAACTTATACTTAAGGATCGTCGATCTAGGGGTTATAATATTGATATGATTTTTTTTATTAAAATGTAATGCAATAAAAATAATTATTTCATTATTTATATAGTCTTTTTATATGAATTCTTTATATTTAATAAACTTTTAAATATTTATAATTTTTATATACACAAATATAATTGCTAATTGGGTTTGACAGAATAAAGTTGCTGTAGCGCGCTCCTGTAAAAACGTTTAACAACACTGATGGCTGACATGTCAAACCTAACTTTTTTTAAAAAATCATAAAATAATTAAACAATTTATAAATCTTTTTCAATTGGCATATAATAAACTAATACAATTATACAAAATACGCTTCCTAAAATATAAATTTTTTAATCCATTTAGTATTTATTGTTATTACTTTTGTATAGTTGAAACGGGAACTATCTTGTACAAATTTATCCTTTGATTGGTTTAGTTTCAATTTTTCCCTAAATTGTCCATTTTTGGTGGTATTCAGAATAATGGCTTATATTTTTTTATCTATAAAGTTTTAAAAGTTTGCTAATCGTATTTTTTGATATTTTGGACTTGGCCTTAATAAAAAAAATTAATATTAATTGTAATTGATAAAGATTTGTGAATGGTCTGTGATTTAAAAAAAAGAAGATTTATATGGATAAAAATTTTGAAAAAAATTATGTAATTGAAATTTTTTTTATGTGTAATACAAATTAAGGAGTATTATTTTTTAATACTTCAAACATCTTTTACACACTACTTAATAATCTTTGTTTTTATTGTTTTAGTAAAAATAACACATGCACCTCTGTATCAAAATTTAGAATTATAACCTCTCTTTTAAATTTATAGGAACTAGAACCATAAAATATCCAGAAACTGACTAGAAAAGCTCAACAAATTTAATTTATATAGTGTATATTTAAAAACTAGACACAGAAATCACTTTTAAAATTTGTAGGAATAGGAACCATTCTTTTAGAAAATATTTAGAACAGGAGCTAGACGTCTTTTTATCCTTTCAAACTGCCTATTTATTATATGTCATCACAACATTTATAAATATTTTAAAATTTAATATCAAAATGCTAATTATAAAAAGATTTTTAAATCGAATTTATTAAATCAGGGTATTTAGGGCGGGGTTTAGGTGCTGAATATATTTATTCGTGTCTTATTTTATATTTAGATATCAAGTTGACATTAAAGATGCCTATAAAACAAAAATCAAACAATTATCAACAAGAAGCCGCCTCTTTTTTACAAATTTATTTATTTAATAAACGACCTGGCATATTTGACCCACAATGTTTTGATTCATTAAACGACATAGATAGAATAACAATTTCCATGTCAATTTTGTTTAAATTATTTGCGTGGCATAAATATCCTCCAGATAGTAATCATGGATTTTATATCCCTGGGGGACTTTTGAAGTATAATTGTGAAAATAATAAATCTGATAAAAACGAAACGAGAGTTATCGACAAAACTGTTTATGATGACGCATTATTATTGTTGTTACCCACTCCAGATTTTAGTATGCCTTATAACGTTTTATGTATATCATGCACCGTTTTAGCCCTCTCCTTCGGCACCATATTTAATTATTGTTCAAAAATGTAAGTCTCATTTTAAGTTATTAGATTTATAATTTATGGTAAATGTTCCGGGGCTACGTCGAAATATGTTTTATATATCCAATCATTCAACCTAATAAGTTAAAATTAGCAGTATTATATAAAATTTTATATTGAATTGATTATCATAAATCTTTTGATTTTTAAACAATTAAAAGGAGTTTTTACAATATAAATTTCATGTTTTTTGCTTCAAATCAAAATATAGAAAGGTAGTTTTGGCAAACCTATATTAACTTAGTCTGTTAAACGCCCAATTTTATAATGTTATAAAAACATCGTTCATTTTGCAGCCATTAGGAACAACCTTCATTTTAATAAGTTGAGGTTTATAATGATTTTAACATTAAATATTTATCAATTTTTTAAATTTCACTTAAAATAAGATAAATTACAAGATATATCATTTTTCCAAAAGATATAATATAGAAATATTTAATTTTTTTTAAAAAATGCAAATTTTAAAGAATGTAGAAGATAACAATTTTTATGATAATATATAATAAGAAATTAAATTAACAAAAAAAAAATCTCAATTAGAGCATTTTTAAATTTGATTAGTAACAAAAATAGCGGTTTAATTTGCAACAGAATATATAAATTTAAAATTCATATAAAAGTTTTTTTGTTCAGCAAAAATAAGGATGTATCTTTTCAATATGTATAAGCATTTATTTATAAATTTTTTGCTTTTATTAATAATCACATTCTGAAATTTTTAAACCTTTAACAATCTTTATATAATCAAATTTGAATTATAATATATAATATCATGAGTAAAAATATAATTCTTTAATTCTATAATTTTAATTGATATTATTTTTTAATTTTTGACATAATGTTAATATCTCTTATTTTTTTTCTAGTATTTTTATTCCTGATCACTTTATAATTATATAGAATAGTGTTACTTTGAATCAAAATAATTTTTATTTTTTTAATTATTTAGGTCAATAAAGCTCTTTAAAATAAATGGACCCATGAAGTTAAAAGAGAATTTTTTAAACCACATAAATACTCATGTCTCTTCATTGCACATTTTTCAAATGTATCTTTTTATCCAACAACTATAAAATATCATATTTTAATTTATCAATTATAGGATTCTAAATTCTTTTTAGATTATCGATATTTTATATAAATATTATCCTTAAGCATTTAGCATTATTCACACAAAACATTAGACTTTAAAAGCTTTATTTAATAGACATATAAAGGCGCTTAATAATAGTAGAGAGGTGAGTATTGACTGGCCATGTATTGATTGGCCACAATTCGCACATTCACATATTCATATTAAAATGAAAAGCTCTTGCAAAACAACATTTGGTGAAATGAAATGATGAACAAGCTTAAGAATGTTTAGTAAAATGATAATTAAGATATTAATTTATAATATTATCATAAAATAGATGTTGCAATAAATTGCGATTTTAATACTAATTAAATTAGTGTATAATTAATTTTTTATATAACTAAAAAATTTAGATACATTAATATAGGTCTTTTACAAGTATTTCATATTGTATTATTTCATATTTATAATAAAATTCTTAAATAATATATTATGACCAGTTAACATTGACTGGCCAGAAAAACAACTCTCACATAATCTCATTTAGCTCATAAACTATTATACATAGAGCTTTGATTTAAAGATGAATATTTAGGCTACACATTGATATAAAATTTGTTTGGTTAAACATAAATTTTAATACTTTTTTTCAAAACAGCAAACATAACCATTCATGGCACATTTCCCCTAAATAATAATTAATGTAAAATACAAAATAAATAAAAGCTAACCCGGCACATTTATTCAAAATCCTCTCCCCTAATCATCAGGAGAGATTGAATTGATAACAAACCTTATTAGCCTTAAGAAGGGCTATTGCGATTCTCTGCTTTAAGTAGATTCGCGAGGCTCCCCAGAATCTTTCCTAATTAGGCGGCTAACATCTTTAAAAACTTTTTAGCCAAATCACCATATATTGTTAAAGTGGAGCAAATGATTGGTACGAATATGTAATTAGAAGAATCAGCGCTGAATTTGGCGATCTAAAATTTTGAACTCTGTTCAGAGCATCCTTTTTAAAATTCGAAGGGGAGTTCTTGTCCCAGACAAGAAAAATCCCATATTATAAACTACCCTTGTGACCATGTAATTCGTATGATTTCATCAGGACGCCTACCATCGGAAAAGAGATCTGAAGGCTCCAATGAGGTAGGAAAACCAGCTGACCTAAGTGCAAGAGATATGACTTAATTTTCACCTCGATTGTCGGGTTTGCCTATAGGGATTACGTTTGCAATGTAAAGGATGCTGCGTCATGTCATCCTCAGTATGATATCTACTGCATTTATATGGTAATGAGAAAGGAATGTTGAGCCTTTACGTAGAGCATAGCTGAGCTCGTGGTTGTCCAATTCATGTTTGAGATTACTTGATGGAATAACACTTAAAAATTCATATTCCCGATCCTTGATAAGTTCAATGAATGTTGATCTAGCCAAATGTGGAAGACTCAAAATAAGGTAATCAACGGAGTTTTTCACAAGTAGTTCCCAATCTTCTGTTTTACAGAAATCGGAAATAGTGTTGTGGTTGTGACGAATTTTACCCACTCCTAGCTGTATTTAAAAAAGGATCATGGACTTACAGATGTTGGTTTATTATTCTATGTGCCTGAAGGTGGCTAGCAATGAACGTACATATTGAAATCGACAGTGAAGACTTTATACCAAGATCGCCATATTTGGAAGGAAGTGTGGCTTGATGCCAGACTATATCTCTAAACTTGAAGTTTAAGCAGTCACTAAGAATGATTCTTATTCTGGTTTCGAATCTTACTAGATGCACCCTTTCTAATAATGGACTCAATCATAGGGAATAATGGATTTTAGGGATTTTGAAAAAATTCCTAATTAAAAAAAGCCTTGTGAGACGAGAGACAGGAAGAATGCGTTTTAAATTTTCAAAAATATCGTCTATATCGCTATCGCTAAAAAAGGAATTTACTGACTCCTCACCGATGGGAGAACCCAAATGCGATATATTTCTCAAGGGAGATATGCTAAAACCAAAAACGTTTAATGGATAAATATACAGAAAACAACGACGACTATCATTAGTCTTACAAATAATACTAAGAATCCCAGACTATTATCATGATGGCAATGGAATTCGAGAGTTCTTTTTTTTCTTTAAAGATGAACGAGGATTCTTCCTTTTTCTTCAAACATGAACGAGGGTTCTTCTTTTATTTGAAGGTTAATGATGATTCTTCTTTTTCAAGGTAAAAGCATACCCATATATATAAATAAAAAGTATATTAAAATAAAAATAAACGAAAATAAATTAAACAAATAAAAAAAAATATAAAATAAAACATTTTTCTTAACCTTCAAAAATCGTCGTTAAAATAGTTCAAAGTACAATATCGATTTATATATAATGCAAAATAAAAAAAACTAATAAATAAAGCGCACAAACGCAAAAAATGATGAAGTTTATATTTTAGCAATCATAAAAATGATCAAATTATTATCGAATTTCCCAAATAATATGTAATCATAATGTGCGTTGTTAAATAAAAAAAAAAAAATTGTTTAATAACGTCCAAGACAAAGGACGATGGAATTGTCTTTCCCAAATTCTTAGGCAATATTAATATCTATATTGACAGAATCACTAGATATCTAAATAAAAATAAAATAACCGATAAAGCTTATATTCTAACGCAAAATCTTCCCGATAACATTTATATAAAACTACATTCTATAAGCTCTGAGGCGGAATTCAATAATTAGTTAAAAGGTCTATTATATGTGAAATCAAACATGTTCACCATATATAATGATTTTAGAAATGTTATTGAATATTAGTAATGTCATTTAAAATTTAAAGAATAGTCTTTGGGCATAAGTTTTAGTGTCTCCATTATCAAATAGTATTATGTAGATTTATTTGAATATTCATTAGTCATCGGAGATTAGTTTCTTATACTAAAAGTATTTTATAGACATGTAGCCAGAAATCAATATGAATATAATAGATGGAGTTAGACTATTTTAAATTCTATCAAACCTCTTATAGTTGAATAATGTTAGCATAAAAATTACGCAGCTGATAGGAAATTTTTATATATAATATTTAATTTTTTGACGTAACATGTAACGCGTTTTGCATTTGAAGTAACGTTTACCGCACTAAATATAAGTATATAGTTAGCGATAATGTGTTTTTTCGGGCAATGTGTTATTTTGCAACTTTAAATCATTTTTTGAGCGCGTTTTTTAAATTTAGGAATATGATTTTACTCGAAATATATTCCAGCCTGCTTGTACCTATCTTATGAATTCAATTTTGCCCTTAACCTTTGAATCATCTGTAATTTATATAAAAAATCTTTAGAAAAACGAATTTAAATTATACTAAGCTCAAAGGTTCATATCAAAATTATCTGTAATTCATAGGGTAGGCATTCAAAACATTATGCAATACATTTCAAGTAAAATTAGATATTTAAACCAAAAATCGCGCTCAAAATGATATTAAGTTGAAAAAATAACACATTGCCGGAAAAAATACACTGCCGCTAACATATATGTGATGAATTTTATATCAAATCAAGCAGGGTTTAAACCCCACGTCTTCAGAATTTTTTTAAATTTTGTATATTGGTAGTATTTATAATATATATAAAAGCCGTTGTCACATTCAAAGTGTCACAATTTATAATATATATTTAGTGAATTTTGAAAAGCATCTGTGGCCTATTCGGCAAGAGCGTCGTTTACAAATCTGACGGCTTTGGGCCCAACAAAGATCCTTTTTTTTCTTAATACAACTTGGTATTTTTTTTTCTTAATCTAACTTGGTGGTTTCGCCCTTTGGGATGGGCATTAACTAATTTCTCATTCAGCCTGAAAATGTTGTCATATGAAGACCTCTGGTGGTAAATGCATGGGAAAATAAAAGT